CTAGTCAGCGTCTTGTCCTAGGCCTCCCACGTGTCTTGCCGTCGCTGCCGCCCTCGCCTGCGCCGCCGTGTCGTCCCTGCGTCGAGGGTAGGCTGCGCGCCACCCCTCACTCCTCCTCCCTTCGTCCGGCCACCGAGCCTTTTGAGACGCTTCACTTGGACGTCTGGGGCCCAGCCCCTCGTCTAGGCCCTGAGCGTGAGCGTTACTTTCTGGTGGTAGTTGACGACTTCTCCCGCTACACCACAGTGTTCCCTCTGGCGAAGAAGTCTGAGGTGACTTCTACGCTGATCAGGTGGTTGCTCACCACTGAGGACACTCGTGGTCGTCGTGTCAGCTGTCTCCACTCCGACCGTGGGGGTGAGTTTCGCTCCGGCATTCTCGCTGGATTCTGTCGCGAGCAGGGCATTCGTCAGTCCTGGACGCTTCCAGAGTCCCCACAGCAGAATGGGGTTGCTGAGCGCCGCATAGGCCTGGTCATGGAGATCGCCCGCACCTCCCTGACTCACGCCTGTGCCCCCCATTTTCTGTGGCCCTACGCGGTCAGGTACGCCGCGCACCAGCTGAACCTCTGGCCACGTGTCTCTCGACCAGAGGTTTCACCGACCAGTCTTTGGACAGGGTCCCCTGGTGTTGCGTCGCGGTTTCGTGTCTGGGGGTGCTTGGCTCTTGTCCGCGACACCTCCGCGGACAAGCTCTCGCCTCGTGCCGTCCCCTGTGTCTTCCTTGGTTTCCCTGAGGACTCCTCTGACTTCACCTTTTACCACCCTCCCTCTCACCGGTTCTTTGACTCCCGTGACGTCCGTTTCGAGGAGTCCACTCCGTACTACGTCAGGTACCCCAGTCGAGGTCTCCCGGTTCCTCCTCCCCCCGTCTTCCTGACTGCCGTTCCCCCTCCTGCTCCCCCGGTACAGCCTCCCCCCCCTGGTCCAGCCCCGTCAGGTGTGTCCCAGGCTACCCCTCCTCCTTCGGTAGCCCCTCCGGTACAGCCTCCCTCCCCACAGTCCTCCTCGCAGCGTGCCGCTGGTGCTAGCTCTCGAGAGGTTGGTGCGGCGCCTGTTCCTGTACCGGTTTCTGGTTCTGGGGGTGCTGGAGTTGGAGCTGGAGTTGGAGCTGGAGTTGGCACTGTAGTTTCTGGTTCTGAGGGTGCTGGAGTTGGAGCTGGGGTTGGAGCTGGAGTTTCTGGTTCTGGAGTTGGAGCTGACCCGGTGGGTGCAGAGGACTCTTGTCGTCCGGGAGCTGGTGCTGGCCGCGCGGACATTGGGGGTGCTGCGTCTGGGGGTGAGGGTGCGCCTCCTTCGGGTTCAGGTGAGCCGGGTTCTGGAGCTGGTGTTAGTGCTGCCTCTGGGGGTGGTGCGCCTAGTTCTTCTGAGGTGGACTCTGGAGCTGCCGCTGCTTCGGACACTACTCCACCCCCCCACCCCTACCCGACTAGGCACCAGACTCGTGTTCGCCGTGCCCGTGACGAGCAGCTGGCGTTGGAGAGAGAGGAGAGGGAGTTACAGCGGCTGGAGGAGCAGCAGCAGCAGCTGGAGCCGCAGGAGCAGCAGCAGCAGCAGCAGCAGCAGCTGGACCCGCAGGAGCAGCAGTCCCAGCAGCAGCCGCGTCCGCAGCAGCAGCAGTCGCAGCCGCAGCAGCAGCAGCCACTTCCTCCTCCTGTCTCGGGTCTTCGGATCCTTGGTCTCCCCTCCCCTTCTCCTCCCTCCTCCGCCTCTCCTCCTGTCTACGGTCCCACGTTTCCTCCTCCTGACTCCTCCCCCGCTGTTTTCCCCAGTTCTCCGCCTTTGTCCTCTCCTCCTCCGTCTCGTTCTTGGGCTACTCGTCGCTCCCCTCGTGCTCGTCCCTCGTCTCCTGTTCCCTTCACTGACCTTTGTACTGCCTTCCTTCTTTCTAGTCCACCTCGTCCGTCTCAGTCTGTGCTTCCGTCTACTCCTGAGTCGGCCCTCACTGTGTCGCTCCCTACTCCTGTCACTGACTACTACCGCACGTACCGTCTCTCTCGTGTTCTCGCCTCTCTTGTTACTCACCCTCGTGCCTCTGTGTCCTCTGTGTCCGCTCTTACTGCCGTAGTTACTGACTTTGCCTCTACCCGCCGCCTTGACTACGCCACCACGCTTGTGGCTGCTCCTCCTACCAGTCCTCTGGCCGTCGGGGGTGTGTCTGCCCTTGGCTGTGACGCCCTAGAGGACAGGCAGTTTGAGCTAGAGTTCCTGGCGGCCGCTTCCCCTCATCTCTGTGCCATGCTCCTCGCCCCTGAGGGTGACCCCGACGCCCTTGACATTCCGACTCCTCGCACTTACGCTGAGGCAGTGTCAGGGCCTTGGGCCTCTCAGTGGAGAGCTACCATGGACGCAGAGATGGCCTCCTACAGATCCACAGGCACCTACGTCGATGAGGTTCCCCCCCCTGGGGCGAACGTAGTCGACGGCATGTGGATCTACAGGGTGAAGCGGCCACCGGGATCTCCCCCGGTCTTCAAGGCGCGCTACGTGGCTAGAGGTTTCAGTCAGCGCGAGGGAGTTGACTTCTTTCAGACCTTCGCACCTACCCCGAAGATGACCACTCTTCGGGTGTTACTACACGTAGCAGCACAGAGAGACTACGAGTTACACTCTCTCGACTTCTCCACTGCTTTCCTTCAGGGCAGCCTACACGAGGAGGTCTGGTTGCGTCGTCCCTCGGCCTTCACTGGCACCTTCCCTCCTGGGACCCAGTGGAGGCTGAGGCGACCTGTTTACGGTCTTCGCCAGGCCCCTCGTGAGTGGCACGACACTCTGCGTTCTACCCTCTCTGACCTTGGATTCCAGCCGTCTTCTGCCGACCCGTCGCTGTTCGTTCGTCGTGGCTCCACACCGTTCTTTGTTTTGGTCTACGTCGACGACCTCGTTTTCGCCACTTCGGACAGGGTTGCTTTGGCAGACGTGAAGTCCGAACTGCAGAAGAGACACACGTGCACTGATCTTGGTGAGCTGCGCCACTACCTTGGCCTGCAGATCACCAGGGACAGAGCCGCTCGCACCATTACACTCTCACAGTCACACATGGTGCAGCAGGTCCTTCAGCGGTTCGGGCTTCAGCACTCCACCGTACAGCGCACACCTCTAGCTGTTGACCACAGACTCACTGGTCCCTTTCCTGACGAGCCGTTTGAGCCTAGTGGTCCCTACGCAGAGCTTGTGGGTTGCCTCATGTACCTGATGACTTGTACTCGCCCGGACCTCGCCTTCCCTCTCAGCATCCTTGCGCGCTTTGTTGCGCCAGGGAGACACCGTCCTGTTCACTGGACGGCAGCTGTGAGGGTGGCGAAGTACCTAGCGACTACATCAGGCGTGGGGCTAGTTCTTGGAGGGCAGCAGTCTGTCGTACTCACTGGTCACTGTGACTCCTCTTACGCTGACGACGCTGAGACTCACAGGTCTACTCAGGGGTACTGTTTCAGTCTGGGTTCTGGAGCTGTTTCCTGGCGTTCCACGCGCTCCTCTTCTGTCTCGACCTCTACAGCTGAGGCTGAGATTTACGCTGGTGCCATGGCGGCACAGGAGTTACGGTGGTTGACCTTCTTGCTCGCCGACCTTGGTGAGCGGCCGAGCTCTGCACCGACCTTGTTTACTGACAACAAGGCGTCGATCCTCCTCTGTCGTGAGCCGCGACTGGAGAGCAGAGTGAAGCACATTCACGTCAGGTACTTTCTTCTGCGAGAGTTGCAGAGGCGTGGACAGGCTCGCTTCGAGTTTGTAGAGTCCGAGGCCAACACTGCAGACATCTTCACCAAGGCGCTTCCGCCTTGTGACCACCAGAGGTGTTGTGTGCAGTCAGGCCTTGTTGACACAGGTTCTAGTCATGCGTAGACTTGAGTTTATTGCCTGCTTCGTCTGTACACTTACTCTATATACTTGTGATCTCTTGGACTGGCCTTGTGGCCACTGTTGCTTGTGCTCAGAGTGTGTGGTGACGTTGTGATCCACCCTGAGCTTTGTTTTTCTTTTGGACTGGTCTTGTGACCGTACTCTTTTTGTTTTTGCTAGACACCCCTCACTTAGGCTATGGGGGTGTGTCAAATGTTGTAGCCTGTAGTGAGGTTTGTCTTAGGGGGTACAGAAGTTAGGGTTTGTCATATGTACCCCAACCAACATCAATGCAACATCCATTCCTCATTCTGACATTTTGTCCGGGAGAATACAGTAATAACCTTCCGGTTATTTCAACACCACGGATCAGTTCTCCCAAACAAACCTATTAACGAATTTGATTGGCATCGCCATCAGTTGTTCAATTCATCACATAGGTGTCCGAAGAAGAAGCTCACTGCACTTGCAAACAGTCGCACGCAAAACAGTGTGCACTTAGATTGCCCCCCCAGAATTGTTTTTTATAATGTATTACCGCCACTTAAAGGGAAGACAATGTTGATAACCAAAGAAAGTCCTAATGCCTCACTACCTCCCTTCGTCGGTTCCTCTTGTGGTGAAGACATTAGTTGCTGACGTGGCACGTCGCAGCTCTACACATTCAGTTCTCTCGTCAATCGTCCTCATGCATTGGTGAGTATGCACCTCGCCATGATGACATGGCGTAATCCACTCTGTTGCGTGGAAAGGTCACCCAACGATTCCGTGAGAGGTTACGGAAGAGGACAGTAAACAATAACGAACGGTTTTGAGAAGGGTATTTGCTGGTTGGACACAGCTCCCCTTTCCCCTGTTTCGTCCCGCGCAGTGCGCTCGTGGCAGAACAGGCCCGCCGCGCCCTCTTCCCCCCTCCTCCGCTCCCCAGTCCCTTCACCCGCTCGCCTTCCCGACGCCTTCCCGTCTGGTTTCCACGCAACCACCTGAAATTTATCCTGGGTGCTTGCGATTGCCTCCAATCCAAACACGGTGCTGCCATTACGCCCTGATTACTTTCATTCAGGTCGCATAGATTCTAGATTCTAGACTCAGGTCTAGGTGTTCTGCTGATACATCGAATTCTGAGTTTCCAGCAGAGCCCATTCTTATACAGAGCTCATGGCGCTTATGCTGCAACCCGCTCGCGCCGTGACGAGCTTTCGTCCAGCCTCGGCAGACTCACCCCAGCCCACTTCTCCTTCCGTCGGCGTCTCATTTCCACGAGTCGTATCCACACGCGTGGCCCATAAGCGGGGAAAGCATGGATGTCGCAGAAGTCTAGTCGCCCATGCGACAGCGAGCAGCAGCGCCTCTTTCGCAGACAGCGGCAACACCAGCGGCAGCATTTACGGTGACGATAGCAAGCCTGAGAATCCCGTGGAGGCGAGCGGGCTGGGGGCATCGGACGTGCGTCTCGAGGGAAGACGCGCCGTCGATTTTTCGGAGCGCCTCATGGCCGACCCCTACCTCCCCGTCGAGTCCGCCATGACCACGCCGGTAACTCCGCAAATTGCATCCTATGTGACACCACCTCGCGCTCTGATTCTCCTCCTTCCCTTCCTCCTAACGCCCCTGTCTACCGCCACAGCAGACCGTGCTATTTGCCATGCTCCCTGTTTCGCTCCCTCAACGAATCATCCATGGCCGAATGACCCGTAATCTATTCGTGGCGTTGCGGGTGCGCAGGTGGTGACGACGACTCCGGCGAACACGATCAGCAGCATTCTGGACCAGTTCGTGCACTTCACGGGGCTGCCCGTGGTGGACCGCGAGGGGCACTGCGTGGGCGTCATCTCCAACATCGACATCGCCAAACACCAGCGCCGCTCCTTCAAAAGCGTCGCCGACGCGCTCGTCAAGTAAGTGCCCGCGGCGAGTGAGTGCGCTCTGCGAGTGAGTGCGCGCTGCGAGTGAGTGCCCGCGGCGAGTGAGTGCGCTCGCCGGTAAGGCGCGTCGGGGCAGGAGGACGGCGCGCAGGGGGGGGCTGGGAGGAGTTTTCAAACCGGGAAAACGCGCAGATTGATAACGAGAGTCGGAACATAGAAAAAGTACCCGAAGTTGGTTGAAGCTGTGCATAAGAGAGACATCTGCACTGCTGACGTGCATGCGCATATGTGGCTTGGGAATACACGGTTTCTGGTGTGGTGAGTGAGACACAGAGAATGTTATGTTGTGTGACGCTGATGACATGGCAGCTCAACCTAGCGCTCAGCTAGATGGTATAGTTTAAACCTTCTCATCAGTCGGAGACAGTGCTGCACACGGAATTGTGCTGGTTTTCAGACTTGAACCCTTCATTGAGACATGGTATGGTTGTTTTTGTTGCTGCTGTACTGCAGGGAAGTGATGACATCTCCTGCCATTGTCATCACGGAACATGCCCCTGTTGCCTATGCTGCCGGGCTCATGCTCAAACACAAGGTATGCTCACTCACACGTGTGGCATTGGTGATAAGTTCATGTGTATGGCTGGGCCATAGACATACACTGCTTCTATTCTTCTCACACATCAATTTCTACCTTAATGCTGAGCCATATTCCAGTATGTACTCCAACGGGTGCATAGTGGAGAAACCTCATTGTTCTGGTGTTGTGTCTTCTCCTTGCGTCCCCATCATGCTGTCTGCCGTGCCCCTCAGATTCACCGTCTGCCTGTTGTGGATAGCACCAATGTGGTGGTTGGCATTCTCACCCGCACGGACATCTACGAGCCCCTCATGCCTGCTGTCAACCCAGTGCTCCATCGCCTCGTAGGCTTTGAAGAGCCCAAACCGCCCACGGCTAACCTGTAACTGGGCCGTGCTCCCAGACAGCTCAATTTGGCGTTTGCAATGGTGGAGAATTGTGTGTCTTTAGAGCTTTTAACCATGTATTTTCGTGCACTCCTCTCAACAGCCAAACATGTCCATGAAAACTGTCCAGGCTCCGTTCCAGCAACGTGCGCATACAGATTAGTGCAGTCGCATAGCATTAGAGCTTAGTACCGTATACTCCCGGACAAAACACCCCCCCATAATTGTACACCCCCGGGTAGCTTGTGCGGGGTGGGTGTTATGGGGAGCCTCGTTTCTACTATACCCCCCTTTTTGCCTGATTCTCTATAAGACCCGGGGGGGTGTTATGGGCGGCAAAAATACTGAATTTGCTTACATTGCATACAGGGTACTTTACAGGTACTATAGAAGTAATGTGCCAGTAGTCATCGACAATGTCACCTAGACTGCAGAAACATCACCACAAGAGCACCTCACATCCACAATTTCACCTAAAAAGACTCTATACCAAGTGCCTTCTACTCAGAATCGTCTCCTGCATGCCATTCTTCACAGTCTTCCCCGTCAAAGCGGCCAGGGCGCCACCATTCATCATCGCTGGGCTCTTCTGCCTCCCCGCCTCCCTCAAGCATGCCCCCCTCCTCCTCTGCCGCCGCCGCTTCCGCATCCTCCTCAGCGGCGTCAGCCTCCTCTGCCTCCGCCTGCAGCTGCTCGGCCGGCATGGGGACTTCGACGTAGAAGGGGTTGACGACGAGCTCGTCGTCAACCAAGTCGTTGACGTCATCAAGGACTTCCACCTCACCCTTGTCCCGCATGTGGGCAAGGATGAGGTGGTCCTCGCTGCCATCGATGGGGGTGGAGATCCCACACGTGACGAACGCCTTCTTCACGAGCTCCTGTGGGATTGCTTCCCAGGACTCATCGATCCAGCGGAGCACCAACTCCGCTGGCGGCTTCTTGAGATTGCCTGAGGGACGGGGAAGGGTAGAGAAGGACAAATGTTAATTTCCAGAGCGTAAGCCGACATTGATTCAAAGTTACACATGCGGATGTCATGGTTCAACTCACCCGACTTGGTGGTGGTGTTGATGCCCTCTTCTTCGAACCAGCCACTGTAGCGATGACGCACACCGCACTTGAACGCGCGGTTGATTGACACATCCAGAGGCTGCACTAGCGGAGTGCAGCCCCCTGGGATGACAGCCCGTGACAGCCGAAACATCCTCATGGTCTGCCCGACCGCCTCAGTCAAGTGGCCGCGGTAGGAGTCGAGCACAACCAAGGCCTCCCTGCGGCGTCCAGTTGATTCACGCAAGGGCTTCAGAAACGGCACCATCACCTGGGTGATCCAGTCCTGCACAAGTGATTCGTCCATCCACCCTTTGTCTTGTGCACGGACCACCACACCTGCCAAAGAATACCGGTACGTTAGGGTCAAATTCGGTTGCGACTGTTGACAGGCTACAGTAGTGACATCATCCTAAACGTGCTATGCTTACCGGCAGGGATGGGCACCTTCGGTATGGACTTGCGCTTGAACACCACGTACGGCGGCAGCTTGAGCCCGCTCGCAGTTACTGCCAGCATGACAGTAACACGCTCCTTCTCATAGCCCGCACTCCGTACGTGAACCGTCCGCGCTCCCTTCATTTCGAGCGTGCGTTCCGCCGGCATCTCCAGGAAAAGCGGGGTTTGGTCCGCGTTCAAGATGAGGTCAAGCGGGTAGTCGTGCAGAGAGCGCATCTGGCGCACAAACTCCCAAAAGGACTCCACCTTGGCCTTGCAATCTGCAAGCAAAGCCACGATATACATTAGCTCAGCACTGAGATGGCAATCAAGGAGCACGACGGCGCAACACTTACCCGCTGCCAACTTCTGTCCCATCTTCGTCTTCACCCGCCTCGCCAGATGCCAGCGCGCGCGGAAACGAGTTGCCCAGCGGAACGATGCGCGCCAGTTGACCCCGGGCATCCGGTGCTTCATGTACTTGGCGCTCCACTTCTGGAGCATGCTGACCGAAACGGCGAGCCCCCTCCCCCTGTGCTTGAGGAACTGGCGGTAGACCGCCCTTTCCATGAAAGGGAACTTGGACTTGCGGCCAGCTCCCATGAGGCGACGACGGCAGCTGGAAGAGACCTCCAGCCGCTCCCTCATCTTCTTCCAATCGCGGATCTGGCATGGCTGCACCTTCGCGAGCTTCGCTAGGGCGCGATTCGACAGGTCGGGCTGCGAGTCCTGCATCTTCAACCAGTGGAGCTTCTCCTTTGCGGTGATTCCCTTGCGATGGCGTTTCGTCATGCGATGGCGAGGGGATGGCGGGTCAGCATCGGCGTTGCGCTTCTGCTGTCCCTGCGGGCGATTCCGCTCCGGGAACGTGGGGACAACCACTCGAGGAAGGGTAGGGCGAGGACGGTCCAAGCTACTGCTCGGTTCATCCCTGGTAGAAGCACTACCGGGATCATCTGGCTGAGGAAAGATCGGGCGAGGAGACGTCCGTGCGCGTGCAGAAGCGCTAGTCTGATTGGTGGAAACAGGCCGCTGCCGCCTATCTACCGTACTGCTAGAATCTAGAGATGAAGCCATGCTTGGGAACTAAGGCAGGCCGATGTCACTCGCCATGGGAGAAATGACTTTTAAAGACGATACCCTCGTGCACAGGGAGGAGATGCTCTCACAGCCTGCCGAGCATTTGTTAAAGACGTGCACTGGAACCGCTTGACGAAGAGAAGAGCAAGCTTGGGTGAGGAAGCTTGGACGTGACTACCGTACACGGGAGTCAAAGGGGTCACAGGTATAGTGACAGCACAGCACCGTGTGCGATTCTGGCCTCGTACTGCATGAACCCAAGCTGCTCGAGGTTGGCACTGATGTCAACCAATCAGGTGGCACAGTGGGCCCACTGGAATTTGCCATATGGCAAATTCTAGTGGAGGACGGCGTTATCCTCGTAGACGCGGTTTGGCGGCCCTGATCAAAAAAATAATAATAAGGCCAGACCCCTGTTTTTGTTTCCATTCATTTCAGCTTATAAAAAAATGTGCAATATAATAAGACCCGGGTATTATGTATTTTTTTCCTATGAGGAGACCCCCCCCATTTTTTCCCTGTATTTTTAGCTATACCCTAGGGTGTTATGTCCGGGAGAATACGGTAATCCAATAAACTCCTTATGGTATTTATATAATTGCTACTACTATGTGTCGATGGAGGAATACTGTTATGAGTTGTAAAAGAGAGTGCGCAGGTAAACGAATAACGAAGTTGTGACTGAATCAACTGCGAATACAATGAATGCACAGACTAATGTAGGACTACTCTAGCTAGGAGGAAACCTCGGACGAGCGAGGTTGGGTGCAGGTTTGGCGATGGGAAAGCCGAAGGCGACGTGAGTAGCCTCAGCAGCGTTGAAATCGGCCGAACGTGCGAACTCCGAAAATCGGGTTGTACGCGAAGCAGTCAACCCCGATAAGGAATTCGGGAAAATTCCTTACACCACCCCCCCCTTTAAGAAAGGTAGTCAATGGCCGAAACACGCCGTCGCGCCAGATAATTACCAACAAGTGTCGAGGCGTCCATTGAAGCGGATGGCACCCACGTGTCGTCCTCACTGGTGCGGTCGGTCCAGCGAATTAAGAAATCCACGTGGCGTCCAGCGGCGTCAAGGCGGATTCGATGAGCGAGAATCTTGGAAGGGTCAAGTGTTGGCTCCGGGACGGGGCGAGCTGTCGGGGCCGCTTGCTGACGTGCGATGTCGGTCGTGGTAGCCACGAACTTCCGAAGAAGGCTGATGTGGAACGCGTCATGTATACGCCAATCGTCGGGTAGCAACAGCTTCGCGGTGACAGGTGTCACCATCTTGAGGATTTTGAACAGTCCGCAAAATCGTGGCCGAAGTTTCGCAGGGCCGGGCAGGTTCAGGTTTTTCGTGTCGAGGAGGACTAATTGCCCAGTAGTCAAGACGAGTTCCCGGCGAAGAAGGTTGGTGTATTTGCGGGAAGTAATATTCGCTTTGCGAATTGCGTCGGCGGCTTTTTCGCGGACTTCCTGGAGTTGCGTCACGAAAGTCTGGGAACGCGGGACCGGATTGTCGAGTGTAGTTGTTGTCGGAACCGCCGGGTCCATCCCATAATTCAGGAAGAATGGGGAGTGATTAGTCGTGCTGGATGGTGCGTTGTTGAAAGCGAATTCCAGCATTGCGAGCGAGTCTTCCCAGCGGGCAGGAATGGGGCAGTTTGTCCTGATTAACTGCTCCATCGTCTGGTTGGTCCGCTCTGTTTGACCGTCGGTCTGCGGGTGGTAAGCCGATGAGAACTGTAGCTTCGTGCCGTATTGCGCCCATGTCTCCTTCCAGAATTTGGATGTGAATTTTGGGTCGCGGTCGCTGATGATCGCTGAAGGGATTGAGAAGAATAGAACGAGGATAAATGAACTATGAACGAAGTGAGTACAAATATGAAACCCTAATTGGGTTGTACCCCTTATGGGATACCCCACTATAGCCTACACAATAGCATAAGCTATAATTTTCTGACACACCCCCATAGGCAAAGTGGGGGAGAACAAGGGGTCACAAGACCAGTCAAACAAAGCAAAGCAAAGCTCAGGGTGGATCACAAAGTCACCACACATTCCGAGCACAAGTTCAAAGGCCAGAAGGCCAGTTCACATGCAAGATCACATATATAGATATACAAGAGTCTAAGCAAGCAAGAGCAAGAGTATATATATGTGAAAGTACAAGCAAGGTCAAGAAGTGAGCAAGTGAGGCAAGACAGGCACAAGACCCAGCTGCGTGCGAGGCGCTGATGATCACAAGGCGCAAGTGCCTTGGTGAAGACATCAGCAGTGTTGGCCTCAGAGGCCACGTACGCAAGCCGCAACTGTCCACGCTGCTGTAGCTCACGAGCAAGAAAGTAGCGGAGAGCAATGTGCTTTGTCCTGTGCTCCAGTCTTTGCTCTCGACACAAGGCCAGCATGGCCTTGTTGTCTACGTACAGGACTGGAGGAGAACGAGGCGG